GGGGGACCAGCGCAAACCTGATCTACCCTTGTCCTCTTATCTCTGCAGAGCCCTTCCTCTCGTCTATGGTAACTACAGATTCTCACCCTTCATAACATACATACATACATACAAGCACATGAACCAATCCAAGGGAAGCCTAAAAGAACCTGCTAAATAAGAACTACGGCATCTTTCACTAAAACCAAATCAAACTAACCCTCTAAATCCCATGCAGAAATAGGGTCTGGGGGTAGGATGTACGGAGGAGACCTTGCCACTCAAGGGGTAGAGAGGTTGATTCTGAGAAGACACGGGCTCGCAAAACAAAAATCTAAGGGAACACTCGAGCAGGCTACAGGTAAGAGTGTTTGCAAAGAAGCAACGAGTAAAGTTAACAGAAAATGCATCAGTGAAGAATGAGTGGGAAATAGGTTAAACAAACAAGAAAATATGGAGAGTGGAATAAAAAACCTTCACATGAGTGCTTGGAAAGGCAGATGTTCGCAGAGTTTCTTGGGTCTCATCCACCTTTTTGCGTTTAGGTATACTCAGTATGAAAGCTGCTTGATCAGCTGTAGCAGCTATAGATGTAATCCTGTAACCATATTCCCATCGACGGTGTATTCCTTCACTCGGGTACAGAAAATCAAGTTCTACAACCTGGGATCATCATTGCAACATTTATCATAAGTATATGGTGCCTTTAGATGCACTCACTAATTCATGAGATTAGAAGTTTGACAAGGGGAACTCTTGCTTTAATCGGAAAAATGATATCCGTCCGAAATTAGATGTTCATAATGAAAAAGGCACACGTTTTTAGAAAAAATGTATAATTATTACACTTTTTAATCCACTAAATGACAATTTTTACCCTAGATAGCAGAGAGAGTAATGAGTTTCTCCACCCATAATTAAGGGTGGAATTGGAAAATAGGCACTTACTCTTGAAAGTGGACACTTCTTTTGGGATAAACTAAAATAGAAATGTTGACAATTATTTTGGGACGGAGGGAGTAAAAGTGTGGCACTGCAATCATACCTGTTCAGCGTATCCAGAATTTCTGGACATCACAACACCCCAGCGACTGCCAGCTGTCGTCATAGAAGTGACATGAAAACCTTCTTTCCACTTTTTGCTGATCCACTTGAATGGAAATGACTCGCTCACTTTATAGGACTGTTGGATGTAAGGTGTTCCTGAGATAAACACGAAAGACGAAAAACAGGTATTCATTGAGTTTTCAGTAAGGAACATGACATTATGATTGTGGAAGAACATAATATCATATTTTTAGTTGATACCACAGTTAGATTGGAGCTGTGATCATCCACGGGGGAGTTATAAATGTTGATATGATGAATACAATGCCTTAAGTTTGGTAACTCAACTTCTCAAATAAAGATGAACATACTCACTAATGTGTCATAGAAGTACCAGTAGCACAAGCATGAGAAAGTTACAGCATGTGAACTACAATTAAAAGATCCATGGAGCTTGCGGTTGTCACCAGGGCACAATTTACAACCTAGGGGACATTTACTGATATAGATTGGGTAACCGCTAAAAAGAGTAAGAGTGCGGTCTAGGTAACCGCTGACTGGAAATGGTTTTTTTACCAAGTGCCTGGGTAACTGAAGCATTGACCGAGTCCAAAGGCAACCCCTTCCTTACTAAGTCAGCGTCTCGGTCACCATATTTGTGGGTCACAGTGTGTTGGTAAACAAAATCCCTTCTTACCAGGCTCTTACCCAGTGAGACATGGTCAACAGGTAGTAAACAGCCCCTTTAGCCCAAACCTACAACTGATTTAGAAAAAGCCATTGGAAACTGTCCAGATATCCCTTCTGTTTGGGCCAACTGCTTTGAGGACCACTAGTTGTAATCCAATGCTCTAATAATTTGGTATGGACAGGGCGTCAAGTACCTAGAGATGTTTCTATCGAAATGTTATTGTTTACACTTGACCAGCTTTTCAGAACTTTATCCTCTCTCTCTCTCTCTCTCTCTCTCTCTCCCCCTTCATCGCACTTTTCACAAGCCGAGGGTTTTCAAGAATACAGCCGCTCTACACTTGGGGGTAGAGATTATCTTACACTCCCCAGACCCCACCTCCAGGGTGGGACATACTGGGTTTGTTTGGTTTGGTTTAATTGGTTTAGGGTACTTTCTCCTTAATTTGGAAGAAAAGTAATGAACATGGTCCAAACAGGATCAGCTACCATCATCCTGTATGTACATGAAACTGAATTCTCACTCATAGGAAGCTATAGTCCATGCAGGTCTATAACGGGCCATCTAAGTAGGGTCTTTCTTTGCAATAATGTTTCTATAAGAGGGTAAACTCTAGTACGATCAGCACCAGTTAACGAAATACTGATTGGTTTATATTTAGATATAATGAGTTGAAAATACGTAGATCATGTTTTAAACTTTTAGATGTATGATAAACCAAATGTAACCAAATGGGACTTCGGAGACCATGTGGAATCAAAAGATTCAAAACATAAACCGTCCTTAATTTCTCCTGCATGTCCGCATGGATATTCCAATAAGTGGCATTGTATATTCCAAGGTTTGTTAGACTATAAGTGGTTTTCAAGGGTGATGCAACGGTGTTCAATAAGTCTCAGGGGATGGGAAAGTTATAAACCATTAATGATGGTTCAATCTGCAACATCAACTCAGCACACAGTTCAAGAAAATAATGCTATTGGTCAAATGTCAAAATGGCTTCAATAACAATAAAATATGCCAAGCTTATGGACCAAAAACAATTCATTAAAATTCTGGAACAACAACAAATACCATAATGGTAAAGTTAACCTGAAATTTTGGCAAAACTGAAAACAATGTAATTAACATGGGACATCACAAAATGGGAACGTTTACGGACTGGAGGGAGTACAAAGAAGTATATATGGATATGTAAGCAATTAAATACACATCAGATAAGACGTTCTCTAACCTTTTGACATAACAACCAAAGAGCTTCCGTTGGCAGCACCAGCAATTGAGGTGATGTAAAAATTCTTCTCCCACTGTTCCATGATCCAATCCTGAGGAGCATTATAAATTTTTATTGGTTATTAAATTATTGATCTGACACAAAAACAGCTACCAGAATTAGGAACACTAGAAAAACCTTGTGGAGAAAGACGGATGATAGTTCATAAACTTGTGCAAAGAAACCAGTTCCTGCATCCATGATTAGGGCCCAAAGATTTGAAGCCGACGCCACACAGCTGATGTATAAACCATCTTCATTTCCCTTCTCTACATGCTGGCGAAGTCTTGAGTCAGCAACATTGTAGTGATATCTGTGCAAATGAAGTAAAATCTTTGCTTATGGGCTCATTATATTAACTGGTAAACCAAATTGTCAACTCTTATTCAAGCTGACTCAAACAAGTTCACATTTTTCACCCACAGCCGAGTGGTGGTCAGCTTGTGCAGAATAAAGTGAACATCAATCTTCAAATCTCACTCATGTAAATCAAATTAATTAGTAAGAATGCTTCAAGAATTTTGGTGAAACAAATAACATTACCATCTTTGACTTTTCAACAAGTATAATGCAGCAAGCAAGTTCATAGAAAACCTATCCCTAGAGAATTAAGATGTGGTTCCAATTATGGATTTAACTGCATCAGGAATCAAGTGCACAAACTGAAATAGAAAAGAAAACAAACTGAAATTGCCACATGCAGCACGTGTCATTAGCAGAGAAAATATAAAAGGCAACATATATTGGTGTGGTAATATGTCAAAATATGATCATTACTCCTGAACTCAAAAACATTGTACAGAAGGGGAATGTGATCCAGAAGCTAAATATAAGTGCATCTACATCTAAGAGACTATACAAGTATTTAGGATTATAAAAAAGTAACAATTTTTAAAGTCAATATGAAGCCAAAGATTGGTTCCTTTTCTTTATCAATGTGAGATGATATTGTATTTCTTTGTCAAGTATCGAAGTATAAGCTCATTCATCTTCACCCATAAAAATCAATGCATTTATTTATTCAGCATACCCTCAAACAAGTTGAATTTCTCAATGATCAACCGACTATTATAAATTATTAATCTACACTGTAGAAACTTTTTGCAAGAAAAATGTTAATTTTGAAAGGGCAAAAATCTATAAGCAGCAAATATCCACATGTAATATATTTTCTCCCATACGGATGTATTAAGCCATTTGTGGCTACAAGACTGCAGGTACTTACTTAACAAATTAACCACTTGATGAGATAGGTAAACTTTCTGATATCGAAAGAATCAAAGATACATAAGTCACAACTGGTTGATGCAGGCACATGTAACACAACTTAAGGTGCGTCCAGCAACTACTTTTGCCTTAACATCAATCCGCTCATGAGTGCAATGCAATTTTATCATGAACATCTCACATGCCAACTATCTCTTAATTTTAAATGGAAGTAATAGTTGTCACAAGGCCATGGCAAATTATGTCAATAGCCAGGCCACCATGTCGACATGGCAGCCCCATTCTTGTCCATATGGCAATAAGTCGTTCACTATGTGTTAATTACATGTATATACATTACATTAAAATTTTATATGATACCATCATTTGAACATCATATATAATATGTTTAACATTAAACTACCAGATACAGTAACAAACTAATAAACAAATTAATGAAATTGACCACTTACTAGTCCTTACTCATGATCAAGTAAAATACTAGATAGCAAATAAAAACTAACAGCAAAAATAAAAACTGATTAATAAAGTAATTAATTAATAAAATCAATGAACTAATAGAACTAATACGGTGATACTAATTCAAAAAATTATATTCGATCATTCTCGACGAGAAGTGTGATATGTAAATGAATAGGCAAGAAATAGATTCATCATGCCACTAGAATAGATTCAAGAAGGCAAAAATTGATTAATACTTTCTTCAGGTATCTTGACTGGGATGATGTTTTCTGTATAAAGATTATTATTGCTTATTTTGATGATCCTCGATATATAAGGAGCTCAGGGACTCGCTAAATATGAGAGTAGATAACGGAATTCAATTGTCAGGAATGAATGGTACTAACTAATAAACTAAATATCTAACAAAGTAATAAACCAATTAATAAGTAAAACACACACACAAAAAACAAATTTGGTCTAGTGTTATTTTAGCGCTGTGTTGGCAGTTTTATGTGCTACCAGATTATCTTGTTGCTCAGGCATTTAGGGTGCGTTTATTACGCAGACGGGACCAGTCACCTGACAGGACAGGACTCGTTGGGATGGAGCTGGATTGGACGAGAGTGAGATGGGTGGGTGAAAGAATTGTGGAAAGTTTTAGGGTTTTAATTTAGAATTAAGTAATTTACCAATCTTGTCTCGTCTCTCTGGTTTTTGTTCCACCTATTTGGTGGGACAAAAAATGCATTGCTGTCCCACTCAGTCCCTGTTGTAGCCCAGTCTGTTGCCGGACCAAACGTGGGATAACAGGCTTCTTTTCTATCATGCCCTGTCCTCACCCAGATACCAAACGCATTAAGTGACTAAAAGGCCAGAAGTCAAATAGATAATAAAAAAATAACTAAATTACTAAAGTAACAATAGCATTAACAAGAAAGAGAAAACAAGCAGTCCCAAAGAAAAAGAAGCATTACAAACTCAAAGCAGAAATATGCAAAACAGAAGAAGTTACGAGGTTATGATCAGTCCCCTTGAACGAACAATCAGGTTAGGGTTTTAGATCATTAGAAATCAGGATGAAAGCAATCAATTTTGGGTTTTCAAATAAATTGGTAATTGATAATATCATTGACAGATTTTTTGGGTTAAGTTTGTTTTTTGGGAGGTAAATTAGAGTTCATAAGGTGAGTGGAAACCTTGATGCACTTTTACCATCACCATAACACCATGGTGATGCTGTAACAACAGTATGGAAACATGATCCTTAGGCATAAGTGAGTTATGCCATCCGTTAAAGGAGATTCACATGCAATACCTATATATATATATATATATATATATATATATATATTCATCAAGACATGGGAAGGTGTTCTTTCCTTGGAAACTAAAACCTGAATTTGAAGATCAGACTTTGGGTAGCATGGATAAGATGATGCCATAAGAAAGGGGAAAACTGTATACCGACTTCTTTCTTTAATTTCTTTATTGACGTTAATTTTATTAGAAGATTGTGGTTACCTTTTAAGAAGAGTCCTCAGTGTATGTATGCTCTTCAACTTAAAGACTCGCATGATAACTACAGAGCATAGGCCTCCTAAGAGCACAGTAAAGATATAGATACATCATTCTGAAGCTACAAGAACTCTACTAAGAGTTCCTGGGTTTTGACCCTAGAAACTATTTACTTGTACAGCAATTTGATCCTCAAATATACAACACTGATTGGTTTCAGTAGCAGAAAACACCTATATGATTGATACACATACAGCATGAAATGCAAGTGTAGTTTACCAACCCACCTTTGCTTCATCGGGCGACGTGCATTGTAAACTGATATCCATTGTGTAGCAGGACTACCTAGTCGACCTTTCTTTTTTGGTTGTTCATCTTCTTCCAAATTTATAAGCAATCTACCCCGCTTCTGTCCAACCTGGTAAAACAAAACCACGTCATGAGGTAAATATCTTATGCTCATAAAAAGAAATATTTAAGGTCATCAAAAGGAAAGAACCTTGAGGGCGCCGTCAATCCTGATTGGTCTCAATGATGTGACTGGTTCAATAAGGGTTTCAAAGAAAGAGATGAGCTTAGCATATTTTGGTTCCTCATCAAATTTCATACTTGTAACCTCTTCAAGGAATTCTTTGAATGGAGGAGGACAAAAGCAACACATCAGCTCAGGTGAGGTAGCCATTTTCTTTTTACAAACAAGGAAACTCTTGTTGTCTCCCTGTAACATTAAAAATAATAGTAAATTAGTAATTGTTAAACGAATCGCCTATCAACTTCTTAGGTTTGACCAAAATTGAAAGGAAGTAAAGGTTAAGTGAAAAGATAACAAATAATTAATACAATGTGGTTAAAAGAGCCAACTGACCTGGTAGCCTTGCCATGGTAACCTTCCCCTTAAGAGAAATATTAATGTGTATGCCAGTGACTCGAGGTCATCCCTTCTACTACCGGTACGACCTAGATGTGCATGTACACTTGCATACCTTATTGTACCTCTGTCAAAATAAGTTCATCAATACAAACCCTTGCTAATTGCTATTCTATCTGAGGGAAGGGAACACGAGACTCAGACCATGGATGGTCATAGATGTAAGAAAAAGGCTCTAGCACAAAGCATATGTTCATTAAAAACAAGCTATATTAATACATTCAGAATCCACAAACCTGAAAATATCTGGCCGTTGATCATATTCAACATGCAAATTGGCTGATTCTTTCCATTTTGATGCTGAAGAAACAAGGCATTATGTATTAATGACCCTAATTAAACTCAATATAAAGAAAATAATATAGATTGGATTAAAGGATATCATAATGCATGTCATGGCACAGTTCAGTGAACACATTCCAACAATGTCCTAACGCTCAATGAAAAGAATTTACAGAATTCATGTCGTCGTTAAGAAAAGCATACCCAAACCAAGATCAATAAGATATAGCTTCTTCTCATCAACTGATCCAGGTTGACCAAGTAGAAAATTTTCTGGTTTCACGTCTCCATGCACAAACCTTAACATAAGACCAAGTTAGTTACATTAATCAAGATGTAACCTTATGCTTCAACAAGTAAGATCTTGGAAAGCTAACTATGCAACGCAGACAAGCCTTACCCCTTTGAATGAAGCTTTTCAAGAATTGATATTGCCTCGACAGCAATGCAAGCCGCCATATTTGGTGACATACTGCAAAAGGAATTAATTAATAGCCAGGAAAATATTTTAGGCAGTACCATGGCAATATAAATTTTATTGTCTACGATCAACGTCTGTGGATGAGAGGAAAATTATGAAGAGAGTTGTCTTACGATTGGCCTAAAGAATTCCAAACATCCCAAAGACTGGGTCCAAGCATGTCCATGACCTGAAATTGGTTCAGAACTTTTGTCATGCTACAGCATTGAAAAATTAAGCTGACAATAAAATGAGCAGCTACGACGTCCAGGTCATAAAAGAGAAAAGTTTCAAGCCAAAACTCACCAGAATGTAAAAATCACCTTGCCGGCCCTTGTAGTGAACCCATGGAATCCCATAGCATCCGTTCAATGTGCTTTTTGCATTAAAGGTCCAAAAGTTAGATCATAGATACAGTAACATGAAGTACTCCTACAAAAGGGGTGTGTGCATCTAGACAACTAACATTTGCTACATACCCGTACACTTGCCACTCGTAGGGAGGGCCATAGTTGCAACCTTTACTATTACGGTGCTCAAACTTCAATGCTACCTATAAAAGGAGTCAAAAGATAAAAACTATAGTGAGACATAATGAGCTACCATGAACCATCAGCGCATGTATCTTGTGAACATACCTCAATTGCATCTGGGCCTGTTCTACCAGTGCCACCAGTCACCCTCCTACCAACATAAACTTGCCCAAAACCACCCTTACCCAACTTCCTTTCCGTCTTATACGTAGGAGAATTACCCACTTGTACCTGCATCAAAGCAAAAAGTAAACTTCAGTTTAGGAGTTTTCTATGCAGAAAACAAGCAAACAACACATAACTCATACAATAAGAAATAAGTTAGCTGTGGAATAAATTGTAGCTAGTTATGCACTGTTGCCACTTGCCAATGCGATATTATTGTAGTGTATCTCATAGTAACCTGACTGTGACGACCCTAAAATACAAATAATGCAGAAAAGAGCAATCAAACAAGCACAAATATACCTTCTCAGGTACAGGAGTTGTATTTCCTTCTTCTTCCACTCCCATTATTTTGTCAGCACTTCCACCTTCCATAGCAACGAGTTTATCTGCAACACCGTTAACAATAGGTTCTACAACTCCAACAGCAGCTGTGTTAGGAACAATCTCACAAGGTGGCTCCGGGTCTAAATCAATCAACCTAATGCCTCTGCCTCTACCAGCAGCACTTGGTCTCACCGGTATTGCCGCTGAAGGCCCTTTGGTGTCAGCTGCAGCATTACCCCTTCCTCTTCCTCCACCGGTTTTCCTTCTGGTTCTGATTTGTGTAGGTGCAATAATATTTTCAGGTTGAGCGGCAGGCTGAATATCTCCAAGCCGTTTTGATCTACGTGGTCCACTCCGCAGTTGTGGCATCGTCACCCATGCAAATTACATCCAACTCATTTCCCCCAAGCAGCCCCTTTAAGCCTCTGACTAACTATAAAAAGAAACTAAAAGAAGGCACGATAAGAAACAAATTATAATCCAGAACAATAGATAAATTCCCTTTCTTAATGCATGAAATATTGCATCCTCCATATAAAAAGAAACAGAAATTTGCTAGAAATTAGAATGAATGAAAAGTTGCTTCCTTAGAAAGCAAACCATGTCAGAAAGAGTACTATTTTTAGCAAAAATACCAAGTAGATGTTTATACAAATTCTACACTCAATGGTTTGAGGTTCTGATTCTTTTGGGACAGAAATCTACTCCAAAGCAATAGTGATCAACAGCATACAAGATATACATCCATCACATTTCAAATCAACCATATTAAAAGTTAAACACCTTTCTTTATCAGGTGTACAATACTACAATTACACAGAGAATCAAATTTATTTACTCTAAGAATGCAAACCAAATCATTCCACAACAGCGAAAAAGGAATAATCAAGAATTCAAAATCAGAAGAAAAAAAATACGATATCTATGTGGGGGAAAAACAAAATCAGACGGTCTGAAGACAAATAACTCAAAAAACTAGTTTCTCCGATCATCAAACAGCATCGACACTCAAACATTCCCCAACCATCATAAGGATTAAACCACAACCACTTCCGAAAAAACCAAAAGAAAAACGCAGATAGATCGTACCTCGGGAACTGCAAAATCTAGATGATCGGCGACAAATGCTTGATCATTCAACACACGAAAACCTAATTTCACGAGTCGATCGGCTCTCGGATCTTTTCAGTTTACCTCTTCGTCCCCTACCTCTTCGTCCCCTTTATCTAAACAAATTTGAACAAAAAAAAGGTGCAACAAAAATCAGAAAAACAGGTTGATTTAGGGATTTTTAGGAATGATGGGAAGAGAAACTGACGATCAATTTAGGCGAAGAGAGATTCGAGATGAGAGCACGTAAATTTTGCGATGTATTTTTGTGATTCTTGCGGCTATCGGTGTGTTTCTCCCTCTATCCCTTATGCATACGTATACTTTTATGTATATATATATACACACACTCACTCTGCTCTCCCCTCTCTCCCCCCCTCTCCAAATGCTTTTATTTTATTTTCCTTTTTAACATTCTCATGAAACTGGAAAGTAGACAACATGGAGCATGCAACACATGTGCCTCTAAATGCTCAAATATTGTTTTTTCCTCTAAATTTTATTTGTATTTTTGTATCAAGATTTTATTATTTGGTTTTCATGTTGGTATAATATATTTTGAGAAAATAATAATATTTTTATTTTTAAATAAAATATAAATTTAAAAATACTATAAAATT